CGAAGTTTTCTTGCCAAAAAAATTAAATTCAAATCTGTCCAAGCCTCCAGATGTACCTACCAATTTATAGGAAATACAGAGATCAGAGCATCATATTAAACTACCCTATGGGGATTCAATCAGCAAAGTCCAGACTGTGAAAAATTTATAGGATAAATGACCTAGTTTCTTCAACAAATAAATTGCAGGAAGAAAAAAGAAAGAAAAGAGAAAAGTTTAGATTAAAAGATACTTAAAAGTTTTCAGCTTACTGAAACATGTGGATCTTGATTCAAACAAACAAGCAGTTTTTTAAAAAAGACATTAATGGAGACAATGAGAAACTTGAACATTGTTTGACAATACTAAGCAATTATTGTTCATTTATTTAAAAAAATTGGGGGGGGGGGCGCCTGGGTGGCTCAGCCGGTTGAGTGTCCAGCTTCGGCTCAGGTCATAATCTCACAGTTCCTGAGTTCGAGCCCCACATCAGGCTCTGTGCTGACAGCTCAGCCTGCTGGAGCCTGATTCAGATTCTTTGTCTCCCTCTCTCTCTGCTCTTCCCCTGCTTATGCTCTGTCTCTCTCTCTCCTTCAAAAATAAATAAAAACATTTAAAAAAATTAAAAAAGGCGTCCCTTTTGGAGGGCATCCCTGGGTGGCTCAGTTGGTTGAGTGTCTGACGCTTGACTCTGGCTCAGGTCATGATCTCAGGATTCGTGGGTTTGAGCCCCACGTCAGGCTCTGTGCTGATAGCTCAGAGCCTGGAGCCTGCTTCGGATTCTGCGTCTCCCTCTCTCTCTGCCCCTTCCCTGCTCATGCTCTCTCTGTCGCTCTCTGTCTCTTTCTCTCAAAAATAAATAAACATTAAAAGATTAAAAAAATAAAATAAATAATTTTTTAACATTTATTTATTTCGAGAGAGAGAGTGTGCATGCACAAGTGGGGGAGGGGCAGAGAGAGGGAGACAGAGGTTCGTAAATGGGCTCCACGCTGACAGGAGAAAGCCCGATGTGGGGCTCAAACTCACAAACTGCGAGATCATGACCTGAGCAGAGGTCAGTTTCTTAACCACTGAGCCACCCAGGCACCCTTTAGGTGATTGTTTAAAATCTTTAGGTGTGATCATGGTATTGTGGTTTTGTTTTTAAAATAATCCTTATCTTTTAGAGATTTATACTAAAATCTTTTCAGATGAAATGATATGATATCTGGGAATTGCTTCAAAACTCTACTGGGTAGGGATGCCTGGGCTCGGGTTATGATCTCAAGGTTCCTGAGTTCAAGCCCCGCATAGGGCTGTCTGCTATAAGCACAGAGTCTGCTTCAGATCTTCTGTCCCCCTCTCTGTCTGCCCCCTCCTCCTCAAAAATAAAATAAACATTAAAAAAAATCTCTACTGGGTAGGAGGGAGTATAGTTGAAACAAATTTTCCTTGAGTTGGAAGCTATTGAAGTTGTGCAATGGATACTTGGGGCGGGGGTGGGGGGGCGGGGATGGTGTGTGTTATATTATTGTTTAGTTTCGTATGTGTTTGAACTTTCCTCAAATAAAACATTTGCATGTCATATCAGAGATGTGCTCCTTTATTTTGGACTGAACTTCTGCAAGTACTGTCTTCTAAGAATTTAGATTTAAGGGGCGCCTGGGTGGCTCAGTTGTTATGCATCTGACTTTGGCTCAGGTCATGAGCTCACAGTTGGTGAGTTCAAGCCCCCTTCCGGTGAGCCCCACTTCAGGTTGAACCTGGCTTCAGGTGAGCCTCACTTCCCTCTCTCTCCCTCTCTCTCTGTGCCCCTCTCTCAAAAAAAAAAAAAAAGGAAAAAGAATTTAGACTTAAGTTTCCTGGAGAGCATTCTCCACCCACACTCCAAGCTTCGAAGCAAAGAAATAAAGAATCTTAAGCTAATAAATGCGTTTTGAGGGAAAATATTCAAGGTGTGCCTTTGTCATCTGAATAGCACTTGTTATCAGGCAGATTTGTAATTCTGTGGGCTTTTTAAAAAAGCTGGCTTGCTATTCTGCGACCCTTTTTGGACGGCCATGGTATGGTAGTTTGCCACCATAACAGTCTCATCTCACATGTCATTTGCCATTTCTCATAAGCCTCGCAATAACTCTGTGACCTACATGCTATTATCAGCCCCCATTTTACAGATGAGGAACTAAAGGTTCAGAGAGATTAATAACATCTGTTAACCACTTACTATGTATCAAGTACTGGGTTAATTGCTTTAAACGAATTTGCTTGTTTTATCCTCTCATACCCTTGTGAGGCAGGCATTGTTATTATCCCCTTTTTATAGAGGAGGAAATTGAGGCGTAAGGAGGCTAAGGAATTTGCTAGCAGCTGCTAGACCGAGTGTCCTCTCCGGCCGTGTGGCTCCAAAGCCCATGCGCTTTCCACTGCACCCGGGACACAGCCCAACAGAGTGTGATCAGAGCAAGCATTCCGGGCTCTGCTATGTATTAGTCACGTGGCCTTGGGCAGATTATTTCACCTTCCTAAGCCTGGTTTCTAATCTGTAAAATGGGGGTAATAACAGCACCGACTGCATAGTAAGGGCTCCGCTGACGTAAGCGACTGTTATCACCAGGTTTCTCTCTGAGGGGGATCCTTGATTAAAGTCAGATTGCTTTAGAAGCTCAGGAATCTTCTGGAGGAAAAAACCCTGGCCTTTCCACGGTCATCTGGGCTATTTTATGTGGACACCCCTCTGACATTTTTCTACAAGGGGGAGAGAGGTGCTTTACTTTCACACAGAGCCCTGGCAGGGATTACTTCTTTGGGAAGTAAAAGACTAAAAACCACGAGACCATGAGCCCACCAGTCATTGTGGATGTTACCTTGGTGTTTCAAACCTACCCCGTCTCTGAAACTGCTTCCTGGGTCAGGCTAGAGGAGCTCTTAAGAATACCCAGTGCTAGGGGGTGCTTGGGTGGCTCGGTCAGTTGGGCGTCAGCCTTTGGCTCAGGTCACGATCTCACAGTTTGTGAGTTCAAGCCCTGCATCAGGCTCTGTGCTGACAGCCTGGAGCCCGCTTTGGATTCTGTGTCTCCCTCCCTCTGCCACTCCCCTGCTTGTGCTCTGTCCCTCAAAAATAAATAAACATTAAAAAAAAAAAAAGAATACTCTATACTACCCCAACAGTGCCTAGATGTGGACACACATAAACAAAACATTTTTTTTTTAAGTTTGTTTATTTATGGGGTGGGAGGGGCAGAGAGGGAGAGAGAATCCCAAGCAGGCTTTGCACTGACAGTGCAGGGTTTGAACTCACGAACCTCGAGATCATGACCTGAGAAATCAAGAGTCAATCGCTGAACCACCCAGGTGCCCCCAAAAGATACATGTTAATATGCCTATTCATTCACTGTCATGTTGTAGGGGGAAGAACATGGGCTTTGGAGCCTTGGGGACCTCAGCTTGAATCCTGACTCTGCCACTTGCAGGCTGCGTACAAGTCACAAGTCTGTCTGTGCTTCAGTTTCCATAGCTATGAGTTAGGACAGATGTGAATAGTAAAGCTAATAGTTATAGAATGCTTACTATGTGCTGGGGACTCTTTTTTATATAGATTGGCTCATTTCATTATTTCAAACTTAAGACATTTCATTTTTATTTTTATTTGAGAGAGAGAGAGAGAGAGCAGGGTGGGTAGAGGGGCAGAGAGAGAGACAGAGAGAGAGAGAGAGAGAGAGAGACAGAATTCTAAGCAGGCTCCACACCTTGCACGGAGCCCAGTGTGGGGCTCTAGTCCATGATCCTGGGATTATGACCTGAGCCAAGATCAAGAGTTAATTGTTCAACTGACTGAGATACCCAGGCGCCCCCAAGAAACTTTATTTTTAAAAGTAATTTTAGGTTTATAGCAAAATGGGGCTGAAAGTGCAGAGTTGCCATATACCCTCTGCCCCAACACAGGCACAGCCCCCTGCCCCCCTCCCCCCCCACTGCGTGCCATCAACATCCTGCACCACAGTGGTACATTTGTTATAGCTGATGAACTGATATTGGCACACCATCATCACCCGAAGTCTATAGCTTACATTACGGTTCACTCTTGGTATTGTACATTCCACAGGTTTGGACAAATGTGTAATGACATGTATCCATATCATATCGTTTCACTGCCCGAAAAATCCTCTGTGCTCTGCCTATTCATCTCTCCCTTCCTCCAGCCCCTGACAACCCCTGATCTTATTATTGTCTCCATAGTTTTGCCTTTTCCAGAATGTCATAGAGTTGCAATCATACAGTATGTAGCCTTTTCAGATTGGTTTCTTTCACATAGTCATTTAAGGTTCCTCCTTGCCTTTTCATGGCTTCGTAGCTCATTTCTTTTTAGTGCTGAATGATATTCCACTGTCGGGATCTACCACAGTTTATCCATTCAGGTACTGAAGGATGTCCGGGTTGCTTATATACTGGCAATTATATTAAAGCTGTTATAAACATCTATGCAGGTTTTTGTGTGGATAGAAGTTTTCAGTTCCCATGTGGGCAAATAACAAACAGTGAAATCTCTGGATCATATGGTAAGAGTATATTTAATTTTGTAGGAAACTGCGAAACTGTCTTCCACAGTGATTGTACCATTTTGCACTCCTACCAGTAATGAATGAGAGTTCCTGTTGCTCCACATGCCTGTGAGCATTTCGTGTTGTCATTGTTCTAGATTTGGGCCATTCTAATAGGTGTGCAGTGATATCTCACTGTTGTTTTCATCTGCATTTCCTTATGACATATGACGTTGAGTATCTTTTCAAATGCTTATTTGCCATCGATACGTCTCCTTTGGTGAAGTGTCTGTTCGAGTCTTTGGACCATTTTTAAATAGGACCGTTTGCTTTCTTATTGTTGAGATTTAAAAGTTCTTCATATATTTCTGACAACCGTCCTTTATCAGATGTGTCTTTTGCAAATTTTCTCTCCCAGTCTGTGGCTTGTGATCTCTTAGTATTGTCTTTTGCAGAACAGATGTTTTTAATTTTTAAGAAGTCCAGCTTATCAATTTTTTCTTTCATGAATCATGCCTTTGATGTTGTATGTAAGCAATCATCACCATGACACTGGTTGTAGCAACATCTTTTCTAGATGTGTTTCCTGAGGCAAGGGAAACAAAAGCAAAAATAAACTATTGGAGCTACATCAAAATAAAAGTTTTACAGAGCAAAGCAAACAATCATTGAAACTAAAAGACAACCTAGTAAATGGGAGAATATATTTGCAAATGACATATCCAATAAAGGGTTAGTATCCAAAATACATAAAGAACTTATACAATTCAACACCAAAAAACCCCAAATAATCTAATTCAAACATGAGCAGAAGACATGAACAGACATTTCTGCAAAGAAGACATCCAGATGGCCAACAGACACATGAAAAGATGCTCAACATCACTCATCATCAGGGAAATACAAATCAAAACCACAATGAGATACCACCTCATACATGTCAGAATGGCTAAAATAGAAAACACAAGTGTTGGCAAGGATGTGGAGAAAAAGGAATCTTCACGCACTGTTGGTGGGAAAGCAGACTGGTACAGTCACTCCAGAAAAACAGTATGGTGGTTCCTCAAAAAATTAAAGATAGAACTACCATATGATCCAGTAATTCCACAATTGGGTATTTACCCAAAGAATAGGAAAACATTCATTTGAAAAGACGTATGGTCCCCTATGTTTATTGCAGCATTATTGACAATAGCCAAATTATGGAAGCAGTCCCAGTATCCATCAATAGATGAATGGATAAAGAAGAGGTGGTTACATATGTACAATGGAATATTACTCAGCCTTAAAAAATTAAATGTTGCCATTTGCAACAACGCGGATGGATCCAGAGGGCATAATACTAAGTGAAATAAGTCAGAGAAAGACAAATACCATATGATGTCACTGATAGGTGGAATTTAAGAAACAAAACAAACAAAGAAAAAGAAGAGACAAACAAAAAACCAGACTCTTCACTACAGAGAAGAAACTGACGGTTACAAGAGGGGGGGGAGGGCGGTGAGGGAAGTATGTGATGGGGATTAAAAGTACACTTCTCATGAAGAGAACTGAGAAATGTACAGAATTGTTGAATCACTGTATTATGTACCCAAAACTAATATAACAGTGTATGTTAACTATGGTGGGATTAAAATTTTTTAAAAATCATTACCATACCCAAGGTCATATAGGTTTCCATCTATGTTATCGTCTGTCCGTTTTATAGTTTTGTGTTTTACATCTAGGCCTATGATCCATTTCAATTTTCGTAAAACATGCAAAGTCTTTGTCTAGATTCGTTTTCTTGCCTACGGATATGCAGTTGTTCCAGCACCATTTGTTGAAAAGACCAAACTCATTTTTTGTTTTTTGTTTTTAAAGATTTTATTTTTAAGCAATCTCTGCATCCAACATGGGACTCGAACTCACAATCTCAAGATCAAAAGTTGCACCCTCCACCAGCGGAGCCAGACAGCCACCCCAAGACTAAACTCATTTGATTTTCAGTATAAACTTTGAGGCAGGCACTGTTATTTATCCCCATTTTTCAGATAAGCAAACTGAGGGATAGAGTGGTTTTGTAAATCGCCCAGGGTAACACAGCTAGGACTTGACAGGGATTTGAATTCAGGTAACCTGACTCCAGAGTCCATGCACTCAGTCACTATCTATAATAATAGTCTCTTGTCATAGGTTTGTTGTGAGGAATGGAGAGTGTGTGTATCACATAGTAGGTGCTCAGGAAGCGGTAATGATATGATATGGTATGATAGTATTGTCCAACCCAGCCTCCAAGGTTTCACTCAATGTCATGTCCTCATCCTAGGGATGTCACTGTCTCATCCTAGGGATGACAGTGTGGTGTACCCTCCTGCAGTCACAACTCACTTCTGTGTGAGTTCCCTGGAAAGAGGTTCTATGTCTGATTTCTCAGTGTCCCCCGGAGTGCCTGGGGCTGCACCTGGCACTCAGCAGCCTCTCAATAAAAATTTGTTTAATCGAGTTTGGGTGGCGCACTATTCCTCTATCCAAAATGTACATCCTGGGTGTGGTCTATTCCTCAGGATCTCCCAGCTCTTACTCACCTCTTTGCTCCTGAGCCCCCTTGCTCTAACCTTCCCTGATCTGTCAGCTTCCGCCTCCTCTGTCTGCAGAAATTCTTGGTTGGGCTAACTATGGAGGCAGCCGCTCTTGTCTGCTACACACTTCTTCCCGCACCATGCAGTTTCTTCCACATTCTGGGGTATCCCACTCCAGTATGCACACTGCCTGTAGAAGCATCCACCTCTCCATCTCCAAACTCAAGATAAAGCACCTACCTTGGAAGACTGGTCTCTAAACACCTCTGGCCTCTCCCAGGACACCTCTAATCCTTTCCTGGGTAAACATCTCACTGGATGAGCACATGACGGGACCTGTAAACCAAGAAGCCTCTGAAAGGTGTTAATCTTATTAGCATCGTTGGACTCCTTTGGGGACTGAGTGATCACCGCTGAGGGCTGCGTCTCCTGGGCCCCGGTACACCCCTCAGGCAGCTGCACTTGAGGCAGGGCTCTCTCAGACCAAGCTACCACCCTGCGGAGTACATTCTGCGAGTGCCACCCTGGACATGCGGGCAGTGTCTGCTCCGGCCTAAGCCATCTGGCACCATCGAGCAGCGCCCTATGTCTGCCCCTGCAGAGCCACCCTGGGAAGATGTGACCAGCAAGACTCGAATGCGTCCTCCGCACAGCACTGCCCTGGGCAGCACCCTCTCGGACACAGCCAGCGCGCGGAGTCCAGTGCAGGCCTTGGAAGGAACCTGTTCTATACATGCGGGCACGGTGCCTGCCCTGGGCATGCCCAGCGGCCTCCGGCGCCCAGCGCAGACGGGAGCTCCAGGCCTCTCGGACGCGGGCAGAAGGCTCCCAGAGCAGCGCCCCGTGCCCGCATGGCCCGTTCTGGAGGCGCGCCCAGGCGCTGCCAGGAAGGCCGGGCGTTTATCCCGGGAGCCGCCAGCAGGGAGCTCCCTTTCGGCTCTGCTCGCGCGGCCGCGGGGGGCGGCGCTGCGCTGCGCCGCGCTGCGCTCCAGCCCGGACCGGGCCGGGGCCGCTGGATGCCGC